ATTGAAGTGTTCAATGAAGTGTTCAATGACGATATAAGGACACTGATACCATACATTTCAAGATAAATAAAAATGACAAACACTAATACCAATTATCTCGACAGTCTATGCTAAAATTCGAAATTGTTTAATCATTCAATTTGAATGATAGTGTAGTCAAATCAAGCAAATAATTCACGATTGTGTATGAAAAAAAAAATAAAAAAATATGTATTGTATTATGAAAAATTTATTTATTTTAACAATCTAAAAAAACAATCAAAACTTCCATACGACCCCTTATTTTAATAATGTAATTAATTAAATAATTTTTATCAGCATGATGCAATGTTCAAGCTAAGGTCCAAGTATTAACACCAGTATATAGTATTCATCATAGTTAACTATTTCAATATCCACAGCTAACTATTAATGGTTACTTGCTTTCTCTTAGAGAGTTTAATGTAACACTTTCATGCCTAGCTATGCTCTAAGCATTTGTCTTCTTTTTCACAATATCATTTGCAGTTATTTATTAAATCAACTTTGTTTCTAGCTTTCAAATCCTAATTATTCACTTCTTCACACCAACTTATGAGAATGCTAAATATATTTTTCATGTCTAATCTATTAAACATAAATGTTGCTTATCACTTAAATTCAATGGTATTCATGTTAGGTTTGATGTCACCAACATATTCTCCTAATTTCTCCTAAAAGCATAATATATTGCGCTTGATATCATAATTTCGTTAGGTAAAGTTCAAAAAACTCAATCAATATTCGAACTCTTCAAAATAGCTATCTACATGTTAATATGAAGTACTGAGTAGCTAAAACTCTACTTGAGTTAGTACAATCTTTTGCGCTATCGATTCAAAATTCAATACATGATTATCTTAGTACAATTTAGTCATACTAATTGTGCAGTAGGGGACATCTTATCAAAATCTTAAAGAAAGACTCTTTGATTGATCGCTTTATTGATGTAATCAATTATACCCAAATAGAAGTGATCAAATTTATAAGATGCACTCAAAGTTTGCTATAATTATTGAGGTTCAGCGGCACGTTAGGCGTACGACGGTCATTGGGCATTTGTCTATCTCTTAGCTCGCCTAGACATGCTTAGACATTATAATAAAAATAGCAATTTTAATAATAATGAATAAAATAACGGTTCTGAAGCAATTTCATACTTTAGTTCAAATGATTTAACGACAAACGAAATAACTCTAAAGTTTATAAATTATTTTCTTTTACCAAATGATATAATTAATTCATTCATGAGCTGAAATAGCTAATTATAAGCACTTCAAATTTAAGTTAAAACTCTATATGATGCAATTGTTTGACGAAATGGGTTTTAAAATAGAGTGGTTCTATCGAGAGAGGTCTCTAAGAAATATGGTTTACTTTATTATTCCTTCGGTGGATATAATATATATCTTCATCGTTATTTTTACATTGGATTCAATTTAGTATACTTTTTCATTTAGATAGATTTGTTTATGATGTTCTGGGATATAATATATCATTATATATGATGGTGTAGGATATTAATTCCTCTCATTTTAGGTTCAAATTGATGCATTTTCCCCTTAACCGTTCCCTTTTATTGGTTAATAATTTTTATGATATTTTTCACTTTGAAATATTGTGAGCGGAATCTATACACAGAAATTTGTGTTTTTTTTTTTTCGCTTCCTCTTCTCTTGGTTAGATATTGTGTCCATATTGATTCCTATATTGATTATCGAATTACTACTTTTTTGTTCTTTTTTCTGATGCAAGATATGATTTTATGTTTGATAATATAGATTTATTTTGAAAGCATGTGGATGCTTGAGAGTAGGTTGTCAACCCGCGGGTCGACCCCTGGATAGACTCACTTTGACCTTGACCCGGTGAGAAAAACGGGCTGCACGCGCCCGCCGAGTCGACCGCTACAAGGTATCGGGTTAGAGGTCAAATTGTGTCATTTTTTTCTTTGGTTTGCGAAATGCACCTATTTTCCAATTTTCTTTTCGCCTAACTCAATCTTTGGAATCCTAAGTTGAACATTTAAATATTGTTGTTATATAATTGTGTGTGAATTTTCACTATATGTTGCATCTAAGTACGACATGTTATTTTAGTGTAATATTATATGTTATAACTCATATGTTAGATGAGATTTGATATAATTTATCAGGATAAGTATAATATAATGACTATTTCCATATTTTGGGGCTAAACCGGGTGATCCATTAACCCTTGACTCACTAGATTCACCGAGTCCGGGTCAACCCGCGGGTTGACAACCTTGCAGTTGAGACTTTTCATTTGCCTCATAATTTACATTTTACAATGGCTCCAAACTTGGATGAGTTTCTATTCAGCACATAAATTTTTAATGATGTAAAATTTATGAAACTAAGATGCATATTAATAAACAATGTAAGGTCTCATCTTCCCTCTTAAGCACTACATATCATTGTTTACTTACCATTAAATCAAAGTCTTTCTAACTTGAGTAAGAGCTACAATGACTTTTATTAACTTTCACTACTCATATATCACAAGTGTTCAAATCATTATCAAGTGTTCATACAATGACTTTTATTGTTGTGGATTTCCCCCAAAATGTTAGGTATGTTGCTTTTAGTTTTTGCCTTCTTTTCGCTTTGATTTAGCTTTTTATGTGTTTCTCTATTAGTTGAACTTGCAGGTGGAGATCTGCATGCTTCGTTTCATTATATCATTGAATACACTAAAGTCAATAGAACCATGACTGTGTGAGTTAGTTTGTTTCTTTTTAAGTACACTCTAAACATATGGTTTGTTTCATTATATCATTGAATACACGAAAGTCAATGGAAAAGGCAAAAAAATGTATCGTATACGTATATTGAAGATTGATTATGCATGTGTGATGTAAAACAACTCTTATCATTGTTCTTCTTAGACATTTTTATATAGATATGAATTTACGTTAGTGTAGTTGAGCGTTGTTTGTCATTTTTTAAACTTCATTAGTCAAATACATTAAATACTTTCCTATATTATTCATGGAGAACTTACCAAATTAAATTGTTACTTCAATCCTCAATGCTTACTACACACACATGAAAATCAAACTCTCCCAGCCAAGAGGCCGGACCCTAATCTAGTCAGAATTTATGAATATATAGAGACTTTGTTGTCAGGCACAGGCCCAATTCCGGCCCAAAGCAATGGAGAGCAAAGCCCGTCAGACACAGCTATCAAGCTATGACATTGACAGAGTCGGGGTTAAAGCACAAGTTAATTGACGGGTAGAATGTCCATAATACCCCTCCGTTAATTAATGTAAGAGCAGTATTTTCAAAATGGAGAAAATTAAAGTGGTGAATCTGCTTTATATATACTAGTGTGGGCCCCGGCCAGTTGGCCAGAGGAAAGTAAGGTATGAAATTTAATAATGTAATGGGGTGTATAGCTTATTGTTAGCATTGATATCTTTTTATATGAAATAAAAAAATGATTGTGTAGACAAAAATACCCTTCCTACTTTCACTCTCGTTGCAGGAAATTTGAAATGGAGCAAATCAAACTCTTTAAAATGTATTATAAGTAGTCTAGACTAGATGACTCCATGTCCTTATATCGTGAATTATTTGCTTGATTTGACTAACCTATCATTCAAATTGAATGATTAAACAATCTCGAATTTTAGCATAGACTGTCGAGATAATTGGTATCAGTGTTTGTCATTTTAATTTATCTTGAAATGTATGGTACCAGTGTCCTTATATCGTCATTGAACACTTCATTGAACACTTCAATTCAATGCGCAATATTCCAACCAATGATATTTGTGTTGAGATTTTAAAATTATCCTTCATTTATAAGTTAGAAAAAATTATAAATTAATTATTAAAATATGAAAATTGAAGTATCAAACTCCACAAAAAATACTTACAGGAGACTTAGCGGGCTAACTAACTGTGATAGAAAAGTACTTTGTTTTTCATAATTTTAACTTCGTCTATGTTTTGTATTAATAAAGTACAACAAATGTGTATAGTCTAATTGGTTACAATTCTTGTCTTTGTGGAACGGATCATGGTTCAAATTGTGTAGACGAAAATACCCTTTCTACTTTCACTCTCATTGCAGGAAATTTGAAATGGAGCAAATCAAAGTCTTTAAAATGTATTATAAATAGTCTAGATTCCTGTCGACTGGAATGCACAGAGGGGGATCGTTTTTTTCACGAGCCTTTGTTCAGTTGCTAATTCACAACGGCCAAATTTGGTCAGCTATGCACTGTTCCCCGTCATTGCCCTCTACTCTCCCACTGATTACTTCATCTCCTCTTTCGTTCTCCGTTCACGAACAGCTGCACAGTCGGTAAGTGGTACAACTCTTAAGGAATTTGCTGGGTAGTTAGTTTAGCTATTCGGTCTTTGTGTTAAACAATCTCATCTTTTCCATTGGTCGCCTCCTATCCTCAATTGCATTCCGCCAACAGAAGATTGACGGCAGCAAGTGCAATAGGTACAAGGAAAGCCGTGTTGTGAGTTTTGTTCCAAATCACAAGAGGAAATAGTGATATGATAGATATTTGTCCAATTCATATTGTGCTTAATCCAAATTTGGTTATGCTAAGCTTATATTTGGACATATGTTTGGATGTGATTTACAGTTTTGGTTAGCATAGAATAGAAGTAGTCACAGGAATATGGTGATTATATTTTGTCTTCCAGTATCAACTACTTAATCGTTATTTTTGACTTTAAATTAATCATCTCTTCCTATGTTTAACCATAAGGTTAAGACAAATAGCAAAATAGCGTTCTATCCACTTCAAACTAAGTTCGATGGCGAATCCGAAAAGAACGCGAGAGCCCCAATTGTGAGAGATGGTTGCGACAATATTGATTATCCTACCTAAAATAGTTTGCTTTTACCGATATCCACAAAACTCGGGTAGACAATCAAATCATGCCATACCCTATAGGATTTCGTGTATAAACAGTTATCCATGGGGTAATCATCTATCTTTATAACTCCATCGAACTTGCTAACATTCACATGTATACTGACATTACTGAAATGGAAATACTTAAAAACAATATAATTACGTGAAAATATTATATGCGTGTAATAAATATCAAATATGTTAAGAAATAGAGTGACAATTTTAGATAAAATACTTATGTGTGTGTAAGTTGTCCAAGTTTGAGTTGGATAGTTACAAAACCTTGCCCACTCATTGCCCCCAATATGCGGATTCATATTTTATCCGTACTCACTGAAATTACTTCAGGTCTGAGTTTTACCCCACCTGATTGGGTTTTGGGAAGGTATTGATGATTATTGATTTTTTAATGCTAAAGCAAGAATTCAATGTATTTTAAAGATACTGAAGGTTGCGATGGAGAAGTCGATAAAGTGAGGAGTATTAAATTAACTTTTATTACTATGCACAATAACGAAACAAGGATTATCGAGAAAAGGGGCGAATCCTCTGATGATGATAATCAATTCGTTTAATTTATGTAACTCGCTAAAGTTACAATGCAAAAGTAAAATTTTAATTACCGAGAAAAATGAGGTTTAATATTTATTTATTTTTAAATTTTATGTAATTTTTCACTAAAAGTACTAGATTTAATGTCAACACAAAAATTGGTTTCATCTATTTTGAGAATTGTTTCTGATTTAGATTAATTTGATTTATTATCTATATATTTCATTATATATATTAATTTTGTACACATTTTGTAAAACCGTATTAAAGTTTCCACTGAAAAGTCAGGGATAAGATATTTTGTGTTGAAATAGTCGTTCAACCATTTTATGCAATTAAAATTGTCTCCCGACTTGTGCTCGGATAACCTATTTTATCGTTAGATCATCGATATGGTACAATTTTACAACTACTGATAAAATTTAAAAATGTGGTAATGAGACCACCAAAATTTCCAGATCATGACAATCATTACTAAACATGATTTTTCTTTTTCATGTTTAATTTTAAAAGCCTCTAAAACTATAAATTTTCAAACATGTCTTTTTTTTCTTTAGGAAAATGGTTGTTTCCTTTTTTTAGGTTTTGTTTTCTATTGTCCAAAAAAATCATAATGGTTAATAAATATGGACCCTTTCCCTACTATTGTGCTTTGTTATCCCTCAATCAATCATTCTCTTGACCTATAAATTAATTTCTTTCGTCTTTCTCTTTCGTCTTTCCCCTTATTCATAATCTACTAAAGTCTCTGTAAGAATGCACGTCATTTGTTGGTCAGTCAAATTTTTCTTCCTAACTCCAAAATTCATTCAATGGTTTAGGTAAGATTTATTGCAATATTTTGGGGTATGCATGTAACAATTAGAGATGAATCTTTGGAGCTAGGAGGAGTGATAGACCGTTAATTGCACATGTTTTTAACCCTATTCTTGAGCCGTTTGAGATGTTGATTCTTGTGTTTTAGACGGATTTCACGCTAGGTTGTTCTTGTTTGTGATATTTCAGGTCCTAGTACGTGAATGAAGGTTTGGGAACGAGTTCGGGGTCGATTGACGAAGATTGGACGTTTGGCGAGAAGCTGAGGAACTCACACGGGCATGCCTGGAAAGCCACACGGCCGTGTGGTTGTGGCCGTGTAGGATGGCTGGAAGTCACTTAAACGAAACTCGGCGTTTTGACACTCACACGGGCAGTTGGGAAATCCACACGCCGTGTGGCCTGCCCGTGTGGTCGGGATTTTCTGGGTTTTAACCCAATTTCGCGCCAAAGGAGAGGGAATCTACTTTTTGGAGTAAAAACAGAGCCCTAGAGAGAGAAAGTGCGAAGAACACCCCCAAAGAGTGGTTTTGGAGCTGTGTTTCATCAATTAAGCTTGGAAATCATCCTTGGAGTGAAGATCATCATCCCAGAGCGGATTCTTCCCATTGTTATGAGTAAGACTGCTTTGTATTCTGTTTTCCTCTCTCTTTCTATGGAGTAGAACCCTCTCTCACTTGGGTATGAAGAATCCTAGTTCAATGTGTTAGGGATCTTGATTGTAATGACTTGGGATTGTTATACTGTTTGGTTTTAATCGAATGATGCATGATTCATTAAATCAATTGAAGTCTGATCATCTTTTCTTGATTTCTGCTGCAACCTGAGATAGATAGAATCTGATTAGGTTGTTAGAGCTTCATCATTCGGTAATGGTAGATTGGTTATACGAGAGTTAATCAATTTACTGCTTTGTACTGGAACCCAATTCCTCTAGTGGAGTTCTGTGCTTATTGCCCCAGCTTTCTATCCCGGTGAAGACTAGTCGTCTGCCAGGTAGTTGGACTGAGAGGACTTGGTCAGCTTAAGAGATTCCAAGCTGCTGTCGGATCTTCCGCAGTTTAATCAAAATAAATCAATCCAGGGTAATTACAACTGAGACAGATCTAAGGAGCTAAGGGGACTCATTCCCTAGTGACTCTTCCTTTGCTTTAGAAAACCGAACCATTTTCTGCTTTCTTACTGCTTTTAGTTAAAACCACATCAATCAACATAGTTTGCTAGATAATAGATATTCACGGAGTAGGCAGTAGATCTAGAGCCCGGGTTGATAATTAGAACTTGCCACTTTACTGCATTTCCGGACTGCGATTGCACTTGGTCGCAGTTTGGTGTTGTGTCTTAGCGGGTCAAGTTTTTGGCGCCCTTGTCGGGGACCCTCTAGGTTATTGGAGAAACATGAAAGTTTGTTACTCTAGATTTTTCTTTACTGCATTGTCTCTCTTCCACCTGTGTGCCTTCACGGGTTGCTTTTGCTTATTGTGTGCAGGTAGTGCATGACCCGTAGCCAGTCGGGAGATAAACTACCATTAGACCAGGAGCTTGAACGGACCTGTAGGAACTTCAAGCTGGCTCTAAGGGCGCGACTGGCTGCGGAGGAGGCGCTAGCATAGCTGCAAATCGCCGACGAAGAAGAGATGGGTGATCTTCAGGACCATGATGTGGTCCTTCCTGAGGAGCAGACCATGTGATACTATTGGACCGCTAGGGCCGCGAACATGAGGTCGCCCATTCAACACCCTCATGTGCAGCGAATAACTTTGAGGTGAGCACCTATGTCATCACCATGCTGCGCGGTTCGGTGGTGTTCCGTGGCAAAGAGGGGGAGTGCCCCCGATCACAGCTAAGGCGATTCCACGAGCTCATCGATGGAATCAAGATAAATGGGGTCCCAGCCGATGCCATCCAGCTGAGGTACTTCCCATTTACTCTGGAGGGGCAGGCCAAGGAGTGGCTAGACACTCGACCTCCATGCTCGATCACCACATTTGCCAACCTGGAGGACAAGTTCCCCACTCGCTACCATCCCCCGTCCAAGACAGAGGACCTGCAAAAACAAATTACCCACTTTGCTCAGGATGAAGATGAGACCATCCGAGATGCTTGGGAGAGATACACCAGTCTCTTCCTCAAGTATCCCAACCATGGTTTTACTGACGCCTTCAAGGTGGCACCTTCTACCATGCCCTCTTCCCGGAAGACAAGCAGCTGATTGACTCGGTCTGTGGCGGGAATATGCTCACCAAAACACCGCCACAGCTGAATCAACTCTTTGAAGAGATGGCAGAGCAGGGCTATGATTGGGGAACGGCGAGGAGATCGAGACGAGCACCAGGGCGGGGTGTGCATGTTGTAGCCACCCAGTCATCTGATTTGGTGCAGGTGGTATCTAAACTGGTTTCAGCCATCGATCGTCGGGAATGATCCCAGGGGCAGGACATCAGCAGGCGATGCAATGCCAGTGGTGCGAGAGCACCCATCACACTGTGGAAGACTGCCAGGCGATGCGTGAGTCCAGTACACGCAGGAGCAGGTGAACTTCATCAACAATGTCAGGCGCAATGAACCATACAGTAACACCTACAATGAGGGATGGCGCCAACATCCAAATTTTTCCTGGAGTGGCAACAACAATCCAAAGCCTCCTGCAGCTAGTTTCCCAAACCAGAGGCAGCCATACCAGCCTCGACCGGGCCAGATGCAGCAACAACAGCCACTCTATCAGCCCAGACAGAGGCAGGCTTTTCAACAGCCCCCACAGCAGTAGTACCAGCAACCTAGTGCACCTCCATCAGTCCCAGCACCGGGTGATCCCGTGTCAGAACTGAGGGATCTAGTGACTACCTTGGCGAGCACTAGTACCCAAAAGTTCAATAAATTGGAGCAATTCATGGAAGCGGCTGCAGGCAAATTCATGGAGATTGAAGCTGGCCAGAGAAACCAGCAAGCACTCCTGCAAGATATGGACACCAAGATCGGGCACCTGGCAGATGCCCTACCGAATCCTAGAAATCATAAGGAGGGGTTGCACGACATTATGCTACGAAGTGGGACTGTGAATGCGGATGCACTGCAGAAGAGTGCCAAGAAGGTGACCCAAATCACCCCTGAGTCGGAAGAAGACCCGGTGATCGAAAGGGACTCAGAGGATCAAGCTCCTAAGCCACAACCTGTAGTGGCTGAATATAAGCCTAAGCTCCCTTTTCCCACCAGGAATCACAAAGACAGGCTAGAGGCAGAGTTTGGCAACTTCTCGTCCATGCTTAGGAAGCTACATGTTCAAGTGCCCTTCATGGAGGCACTAGCTTAGATGCCTAAGTACGCGAAGTTCCTGAAGGAGCTTCTCTCGAAGAAGCGGAGGCTGAGCGAGCTGGCCACTGTGGAGCTCAGCGAGGAGTGCTCGGCCATTCTCCAGAACAAGCTTCCGCATAAGCAAAAGGACCCAGGTAGTTTTACTATCCCGTGCTCTATAGGTAAATTGCATGTAGAGAGGTCCTTGGCGGATCTAGGTGCTAGTATTAATGTGATACCATATAAATTGTTCAAGAAACTAGGCCTAGGTGAACCCAGTGAAACTAGGATGAGTATTCAACTAGCTGACCGATCTATAATTCATCCTAGGGGCATAGTGGAAGACCTTCTGGTTAAGGTTGGCAAATTCTTTTATCCTGTGGATTTTGTTGTCTTGGACATCAATGAGGACACAAAAGTGCCCCTTATACTCGGAAGGCCTTTCCTGGCCACCGCCAAGGCTATCATAGATGTACATGATGAAACCTTAGTCTTGAGGGATGGCGAGGAGCGAATAACATTTTCCATTGCTAATACTCTCCCTGCTTCATCGCCCTTGCATGTTGTTTCTCACCAGGAGCACGAGTCTGTCGTGTATCCTTCTGTGCTTCCCATTTTGCAGGATCCCCCTCCCATACCTTTGCCGTCACTCCCGTCCACTCCGTCACCAAAGGAAAAGATCGGGGAGGAGTGGCGGCCGAAACTGCAGGTAGCTAAGCCTGCTCACAAGAAAGCCGGAGACCACTATGAGCTGGTCCCGCCTCCTGAGCCTCGACCACCTTGGCCATCCAAGTATTCACTCGCTTGCATCCTACAGGATGGCCAGGTTGAGTTGACGAGTGCTGGTGGTCACACCCATCGTGTGCATGGCCGCCATCTGAAGCTGTACCTCAAGAGCGATGTGGATACGCTCTTGGAGGCACATGTTCCTTCACCTCTCTGAGCATCCACTTACTGGCGTCCAGTTAAAAGACGGTAAAGAAGCACTTGTGGGGAGGCAATCCCACCTAGGTTTGCATTTTCTTCCCTTTTTCCTTTTAATTTTTTGTGTTTTTGAGTCGCGAGGTGTTGTATAAGAGTCGAATGTCGATTTTGCGCGAAAATAAGACAAATTTGGGGCCCTGGCAGTCCACACGGCCAGGCTTAAATCTCACACGGTCGTGTGGAATTGGGTTTTGGCCGTGTGGAGGCCCTGGATTTTCACACAGGCAGGAGGGGTTTCTCACACGGCCGTGTGGTTTTGGCCTTTGGCCGTGTGAAGGCTCAACAATTTTCACACGGCCATAATTGCTCCTTCACGCGGCCGTGTGAAATTCCTCGGCCAGGTTGTGTGGACCCACACGGGAGCTATTGCACCTCACACGACCTTGTGAGCATGCCCTTGTGGCCGACCTGACGCCTATAAATTCGGCCGCCACAGCCGCATCGCCAGAAAACCCATCACCCCTCGCCGGAATCATCTCCCCCTCACCGGAATACCGCGATTTTGAAATTTTTGGGCGATTTTCGGCCATTTATGGTCGGCTTTTCACCAAACCACCACCCAACCCAATATTCCCTCATCCTTTTCGACATTTACCTTAAGTTTGGGGCGATTTGGGCCGGATTTGGGTTACCTGAGGCGATTTCCGGCGAGACTCCGGCAAGGCTCAGACGAGCATTTCTGGGCTGATTTTGGGATTTTCGTTGCTTCCATTGCCTTCCACTCATCATCCCCTACACCTCTACTTGTGTCTCCAGGTTTGATTTTGCCCTTTACCTTGTGAATTGTGGAGAATTGGGTGTTAGGGTGTATGTTTAGAGAACAGCTTTGCATTGTGTTAATTGTGTGTAATTGATTGAGGGGAAGGCTTGGTTTATGTGTGAATTGTGTTGGGCAATGTCCCCTTTGCTTGTTTGAGCCCTTGTGTGCTAGAAATCGTCAATTCCATGCTTAACTTAATAGTGCACACAAGGTGTTCGATGAAATGCCAGTTTTTCATACCATGTTGTGGGAACTGGTTGGGGCCCTTAATAATGTGCTTTGATGGTGTATTTGCTATGGATGTGAACCTTAAGTTTCCTACTACATTGTGGATGTACACCCCCACCCAGACTATGCTTGTTTGATCGAGTTATTGACCCCCGAACTATGGATAACCATGGTTCGACTGTTTTCTGTTCACAAGTGTGGGGGTGTGATTAACCTTTTCTATGGCTCTTTTGGCTCCACTTTGGGTTGTTCTTTTGCAGGACCATGAAGAAACCCGACTTCAAGCACCCATTCATCCGGGATTCGAAGAGAAGTCCCCACCAGGATCGCTTTAAGCACTTCCTGGCCTGCTCGTTTGGGCAGCATCATAACTGGTTCAGGAGGGAGTTCGAGAAGCTGAATTACTAAGACCACTTCCTCGCCATTTCCACCAACCGCCCTTGGCGCCGTCTGCTGTCCATTCGAGAGAAGGTTTACCACGAGCTCGTGCTTGAGTTCTATACGACCTTCAAGCACGAAGAGATAGAGGATTGGGCAGACAGTGAAGCCGTCAAGTTCAGGCTCGGTGGTGCGCCCCGTTCCATGAGCTACCACGATTTGGAGACCGCTCTCGACCTCGGCCTGGGCGATGATAGGGACTACGTTACCGAGCTCTACGATCCCGTGGGTGTGAACTTTAAGACGCTGTACACCCGCCTCGCTCAGCCCGGCCAGCGTCCCTTCGTTGCAGGGCGAACGAAGGCCAGCACCCTGCAGCTCGATAACTGCATTCTCCACCACATGCTGGCGAAGTCCTACACTCCAGCTGCAGAGAGTGCCAGCACCCTCACCAGGAGATCCATGTACTTCATCCAGTCGATCCGCCAGGCGGACAATCCTCTCCATTTGGGTTCGGTGGTGGTCAGAACCTTTGACAAGAGTGCTTCAGAACTGCGGAGCCTACACTGCACTCCCCTGATCACCCGCCTGGCCACCTACTTCCAAATATCACTGCAGGGTTGCACAGAGCAGGGGGGCACTAGCGCTTTCGGCGAAGACACAATCAAGAGTATGCACCTGCTGCGAGTCGAGCGCAGCATCAAGTGGATCGCGGGGTTTCCTGAACCTTAGATCCCCGCGGAGGACCAGTCCGAGGATGTCCACCCCGAGGATGTGGATGAGGCTGATGCTCCCTGCCCGACCACCTTTGAGTACGGGAGTAGCAGTTCCACTTTCCCATCCTAGGACTACTTCACCCACCAGTTCCAGCAGCTGAGTCTCCAGAATCAGCGACTCCTTTTCCATCAGCTCCAGTTCCAGCAATAGTACTCGGCTCACCAGGCCGAGTATCAGACCCGGATGGCTGCCTATATTGAGCGCCTGTACCGTATGGAGACCCAACAGGGGGTAACTCTGGCTCACATTGAGCGGGAGAAGGCCCGATCTTGGCGTATGCAGGAGGTTCAACAGCACCTGCTCCAGCTGATATCGGGCGAGCAGCCAGTCTGGAGGACTCCTTGGGAGGACTCTCCCCTTCCACCCCGGCCACCGGAGACGGCGCCTTCATGGATGACATCGACTTCGACAACCTTGGATATGAGTAGTCTGTACTCGTCGCCCCTCAGAGTGTGTTTTTGTTTTAGACTTTTTATGTTTGCTCCATGTGTGTGCGGAGCTTGAACTGAGTCTGTCGTTTGTTTTCGTACTTTTGGTTTTCTTTTGTGAATTGTCTATTTTGTGGCCATCTGGGCTAATCTCTGATCCCCTAACGCATAGTGTGCTAGTGTGTTCTTGATGTTTCCCTTCGTGCAGAACTGTTCCGTTCGTTTCATATGTTCCCCACTGACTGGTCCACTTCCAGTCTCCCGGCAGTACTTCAATCCGGTAATATCGTTCCCCCTTATCTTTCCCATGCTCCATTGAGGGCAATGTCGTGCTTAAGTGTGGAGGGGTGTTTATCTATTTTTGACTGCTAGATGAGTTTGTGTGCTTGGAGCCTAGTCCACTGTCCAATTTGATGAATTGAGGGCTCCAAGTACTGTTCCCTGCAAAATCCTGCTCAGTATGCTTTGAATTGACAGTCTTTATGGTGATATGCAACCTAGGGAGGTAGTTGTAGCACTATGGAGGATGTTGAAGTATAAGATTTTTCCTATCTGTCTCTCTGCTATGCCGGTTGATTTTGTGAACTAGTGGATTTAGGACCGTTGATTCATGTGGTATTGATGACTCCTCTTATGCTGTGTTGTGGGCTCGTGTATCGAAAACGGGTGCTCAAGTGTGAAATGAAAAAGCAGTTGGTCCTCCATGTCAAAAAATTTGACATTCTAAGACATGG